TTATATTGTTGATAGCTATAATGTTAATTTATATGTGGTGCCTGAAGCATATAATATAGTTTATAGCTACAATAAAAGGCTCACAAGCAAAGTATAGTTGTAGTGCCTGAAGCATATAGTGTTCACTTAGAAATGATTATTATACTTCGATGCCCAACTTATATATTGATAATTAGCATGAGCAGTTGGATCATATTGGGCAATTATTTATGAAAATTTCCCCCTAATATGCGTGGAGAATCAAGCATTTCCCATCTGCAATTTATTTTTATATTTTTTATCACCACCAATTTGTACCTTTATGGGCCTATATTACAAACTAGGTATGCTATTTTTTTTATACTCCGTTGAATCTTTAATACCTAGAGGCCCTTATGGGGATCAGTTTATTATTTGGTACGTGTTTTGCATAATACATGAAGATGATTTCATGGCATTACGGGGAGATATGAGCATAAGTTTATTAATGCCATGAAATATGCGAAATATAAATTAGTTGAAACCACGCAATAAATATTGAACTTGAAGTTCATATTATATTTCTGCCAAGTGAAATCTATAATAATAATGGAGTGGCCAATTTATAAATATATCGATGTACCACAAAGTAAGCAAATTTCCTAGGGAATGATTGACTCCTTAGTGCTAGAAGCATAAGGAGATATAATAAATATATGATGTATGAAAGTCCGCGGAAAATGTATATTCAAGAATTAACACTCCTTTATGAGAAACTCCTGAAGAGTTGATCCAGTACATCTTGCACGTGCATCAAACCATTATAGTACTGGAAATGCGGAACGGCCAAAATTAGATATTATGGGAAATGATTATAAATATGGCTAATAAATAAGAAGTTGCATATATGGTTGAGAGAAAAATATAAGTTGAATATCATAGTTGTCGACAACATACTTGCCTATGTGATTTCTTTACTATCTCATATAATGATCCGGATCAGAATAATGAAAGTGGTAGAAGCACTTAGGCTAATTGAGATAAAAAAAAAAATTGAGGCAGAGCTTTCACTCGCTACACGATATATCCCAGGAGGATAGCATATCCCAAAAGGATAATGAATATTTATATGAAACATGTGATGTGGTGGTGTGATGTAAATATAGCGAGATTATGCTCATGGGTTTATGCAGAGACCCAAATGTTTATTTAGATAAGTTCTCTCATTATCAATGATTCCGCAAGTTATTATTTATGGCAGCATTATTACAATGACTATTGAGTCATATGTGAAAGTCCTGGATGGACTCGAGTACCCGAGATGAAAGATAATTAAATGATAAATAGTTTCATTATTTAAAGTTGTTGGTGAGATGTGGTACAACCAACTAAATTCTTCCTGAAGAAGTAAAATAAGAAATCCAAGGTAGAACCTTGTGTATAATGATAATATACAAAATGATCATCTCGACCAAATAGATTATGTGGTGAACACTATGTAAAATATTAAATAAGTTAGCTCATGCTTATAGACGGAGTAAGGATGAAACTTTTGGTTAAATACCAAAAAGTATTATCTCGACTTGTAGATCGAGCATCTCCTAGAAGGAATATTTTTGACCCAACCAATTTACTTGAATCTCTTTTAGAGATGTAAAATTGTAACACCAATGAGTGTCAAATATTTGGCATTTGACAAAGATCCAAAAAAACAAATGAGGATATTATAGGACCTGGAGTTCAAATGGACTTGAAGTCCACAAACGACATGAAGTTTATTTATCAAGCGCAATTGTGCTGAACTTTTATCTCGCAAACTGCATCAGGCCTGATACTGCATTTGTGATGAATTTGCTAGCAAGATTTACTAAATCTCTCCTTAGAGAGATATCGTGATAAATATTGAGAATATCCCATTATTCTTCATGTATGTTGAGTTATCTTTGGACTTGATATATGATATTGGTGGATAATGACATCAGTTGTATAATTGATCCCCGAAGTATGGGTCCTCAATTGGTTATATACCTCTCAAATGGTATTAACTCTTTACCATTGGTTATTGAAATTTCTTCATATTTATCCTGAAGATAACTTAGTTTGTGTTACACAAATAAATCATATAAATACATTCGATGATATTTTTGAATCTATATCAACTCCCGAAGAGCAACAAATGATGATTTTATGTTAGAAACTTTTAAATTGAGGGGGAGCAACATATAATTATGAATGAAACTAAACAGGTTTTCCCTTCAGGGGGAGAGATAAATAAATCTCGAAGATCGAACCCGGAAGGTTAATTATAATCCTGAAGATTAGGCCCTGTTGGCCGGTGTTGTACTCTTTTTCCCTTGACTAAGTTTTTTCCCATTGGGTTTTACTTAGTAAGGTTTTTAACGAGGCAACAAGTGTAACACATAAATTTGCATGTGTCATGTACTCTTTTCCTCGACTATTTTTTCCCACTGGGTTTTGTAGCATGGTTTTTAACAAGGCATGGACATGATGCGGTAATGTCCAAGGGGGAGTTTTGTAAATATTAAGTTGTGGACATTACCTAGATATAGGATTTGTAGGCATGGGCCAGGAGCCCATTAGGTATTTACTCAAGTACATTATATTCCCTTATATATATGGCTCAAGTGAATGAATAAGATGATGGTTTTAACGGCGTATCTCTTCTCTCTTATTCTCTTCTTCTTCTACGGTTTCTATCTTTGTCTATTTTACACATAGATTTTATATATTGTCAATCTATATTACAACAAATTTAGCATTAGTTTATCAATATTTTACATTTAGTCTATTTTACATGATTGAGTTCCTAGATTTAATTTAGCATTATTTTACATTTGACTCATTTAGGCTTTAGGTTTCCTATATTTCTATTTAAAAAATGCTAGCTAGTGGGCTTGGGGATGGCGATGGACTAGATATTACATATAACTTGTACGTTTTCAAATTTGTTTGGTTAGCCGATCAATAATATCATAAGGAAAATAAATAAATAAATAAATAAATCGAAGCCAAAATTGTATATTCAGTTTCGATTTCATTACAAACTGAATTTTTGGTTTTGGTAAGTTTGGCTCGGTTAAACGTATTTTGTGCACCCCAAAGTGTAACATAGCTGATGTGGTTTCTTACATTCTGGTTTGTTTATGACTTTGAAAGACAATGATTTGTAACACATGTCAATTAATTATTGTATTTTTAATCCACATAGGAATGATTTTAGAAAGCTAAAAATTCGAATCAAACAAGTATATCCAATGCATTAATTTAATTAGAAGTTACTTGTATAGGCACACCAATTAAATTAATTCATTGATACAAGAACAATTAAAAAATTAAACCAAATACAAAGTTAAATAATGAGTTATCGTGTTTAACTTGATGCTAGATATTAGAAAGTGGCTCAACATTGTCAACATTAAATGTCATCCACATAGGGGATCGACAGGGTCCTCCGGCGGTGGCTTGTTTCTTCTTCGGCCGAAATTGGTCGGGGGTCGTTGGCGTGCGTTGGGGGAGGAGATGGGTGTTGATTTCTGTGTGCAGATGTTCGGTGGTGATCTGTATAGAAGGAGGTCTCAGTTTTTTGATTTGGGACGAGTTAGCTTTAGCTAAATGAGTTATGGAGTTTGGAGTTTTTTTATCTGTATCGGGACAGTGTTCCTGTCTTTTTTGGATTGTCGCCAGTTGTTGTTCTTGCAAATGAGAGTGAGTGGTGTTGGACCACAGTGATTATGGCTTTATTGTATCATTTAGGTGTGTGCTTTAGCCGTCTTCTTATAGTTTTTCCGGTTGGAATCTAACTGCGCCTGGTTTTAATCTCATTTTTTGTGGGTTGTTTTGTTTCCGTTTTGGAGTTCTTTTATTTTGCGGTTGTTTCTATTCCCTTGGTTGACTATGTAATTCTAAATGGGTGGATCCAGTCTTTGCGCTGGTTCTAATGGTGTCCGTTGGCACCTCAAGTGTGTACTCTGTATTAAGTTTTTTTTATTTCTAATGTAATTATCGTTTGAGAAAAAAAAAAATTGTCATCTACCTCATCATGTAAGAACTCATGACAAGCGACATTAGATAATAAATTAGTAATTTCTAAATGTTGATAATCTACATATATATATATATATATATATATATATAATTACTAGCTAATAGCATTTAATAAATCCTATTTAATTTTACCTATGTGGCAATATAACCATTTCCCTCAAAAAATCGTTACTTTTGATGTATTTAATCTTTTATTTAATTATAAATAATCAATACTAATCACTTCAAAATTACAAAAATTATTTTAAACTTTTGATTACTGACAGTTGACCATATAATGTGTTGATCGTATAAAGTGATTAGATGTTTTTATTGTGGTTACATAAAAATTTTTTTATAAAATAAAAAACGTATTTGAAATTCCTAAATAAATAATAAATATTCACAAAAAAAAGACGTACCAAAATATACATTACATCCAATAAGATAAACCATGTTTTAAAATATATATATATATATTCAAACTCATTTAATTATAAATTTGGACTGCAAAAAGTAAAAAAAAAAAAAAAAAATCAATCATTTTATGCATACAAATAACCTACAATATTTTATTTACGTCTGTGCAAATGCACAGGTCTAATACTAGTATAAATAATTATTTATAATGTCAAAAGCCGCATTGAAGAAACAATTAATTGATATTCATTTCCTCGCCTTCCTTTATTCGTCTCCCAAGAATTATTCCAAACCAAAACGTAATTTCCTTCACTGTCCCTAATGCATTGAAACCCTCAGCTTAACATTATCATAAAGATTATGTTTTCAGCTCCTCAAAATCCGCAAGTTACCTATCAATTAATTTTTGTAATCATCTCTTGATTCAAGGCAATTTGCATTAGAGTGAACTAAGAAACGAGCACATTTTCTCCCTCATAAATGAAGAAATACAACTATACGCACAAGTTTGAGTGCTTTTAGTACAGATGAAACAAATAGAGACAGTAAGTCGATCGACGTAAAACACCGCAATATATTTATGTTATCTTTACGTCCTTAAGAAGCCGAGCAGCCATAGCTCCATATCTTCTTGCTTCCCACTCACTGATAATCCTTTTACCCTTGTGATCTAAAATTAGTTTGCTTCCTTCTTCGTGAGTTTGATGATCATCTCTGCAGTCGTAAGTTTCACTAACTACACAATTATCGCCATCACCATCATGATCATCTTCAGATATTTGTTTGGTCTTCTCAGGCTTAACATCTTCAACATGGCAATCAAGCTCGTTGTTATTGCCTTTGAAGTCTGAAGGTTTACGGCTCATCATGTATAACTGTATACTCGGATGTTGGTACTCACTATGCATCTACAAGTATCAAAAGATTTTCGAGACATGAGAATGACAACACCGTTGAGGTTTGAGCAAATTACAGAAATACCTAGCAAAATCTCGAATACAAAAACACCACTAATGTTTTATTATTATTATTATTAAAAGGTGCGGGATTAATCAAGGCCTAGGCGGGGTCAAAAAAAAACTAAAAAATATATTCATATTTAAAATCATGTATAACTAACAAAGTAACAAACTATATGTTATAAATTTATAAATTAGTATTATTTAAGTACAATTATTTAAAAAAAATATTCATTACTTATAGTTATTATATTAATTTTACATAATTATTCTTTTATATTTTATAATTATTGTACAAAATTTGATTTTATTATCTTTAAAAAAAGTACTAAATATATATATAAAAAAAAAAAAAGTATACGGGCACCTGGACCGCTTATGTGCCACCTAGCCCGCTTAGACGGAGCCTAATTGCTCGAGCGCCTAAAAGGGCCGTCTATACAAAAATCAGGGCGCCACAACATAAAAGGTTTATTCCAAATATAGCCTACCTACGTAAAAAATTCAAACCTTATCAGATCATTTAAATTTCAATCCCCACCTTAAGATCTGCATTTCTTCTAATAATAACCTCCTTGGTAGTTGTGATTTGTGTAAAATAAATATAAGTAGCGCTCTATGTTCTTGTAATCTTAAATTAAACCTGATTGCATTGGTTGCAACTATTTTTCTCTTTCGTTTTATATTTTTCTCTGCCACTTACTAGTGATTAACGCCACAGACATCATGTATATCCAAATGCATTTACATACCTTTGCCTTGGGAATACTTTTAACCTCGAAATTCATCTTCCACAGGTCGAGCATTTGGTCGTGGACATTAGTGGAACGAAGTTCATATCCCAACTGAAAAATTAAAAGATAAAAAAAAAAAAAAATCCTTGTTACAAATGGGGAATACTCTGCTCTAAATTGCAAGATAACAATCATATATAAGTTCAAAACATTCGCGAGCACAATACCATAATGGTGGTTCTGGGACCAGATAACGAAAGTATTGTCTGCAACAGAGGTTGCAAAAGATGCTCCGCATAAACCTACCACAGAAAGTCAGAAATCTATGAAATAATAATAAATGAACTACTGAAGAAATTATGTCTGTATGAGTAGTTTTAACATTTGACAGAAAGAAGGAATCATTACCAAGTCTTCCCCATAGACTTAGCTTCATCTTAAGGACCTACCTCGCAAAGTAAGAAATTTATGAAATAGTAATCAATAATGTTGAATATCACTTGCGAGTTGTCCCACATTGATCGTATAGGGCAAATGGGCCCAATTTATAAGTCTAGTGGGCCACTCCTTCCATCCATCACCGATTAGTTTTGAGATAAAACCTCACTAAGATGGCAACTAGCCGCCCTCTTAAAGTGCGCTTCAATTAATGATAGTTGATGAAATTATGTCCGTATGAGTAGTTTTAACATTTGACAGAAAATAGGGATAATTAATAGTCTAGCCCATAGATTTAGCTTCAGGTTAAAAACTTTAGTTGGTCAAAATTAGAACTACCCTTTTCAAGTGCCACATATAATAAGTTAAAGTTTCAATCCCTTAACAACAGTAATGTGGATGTTAGCTTTTTGGAGTTTGAGACTCACAACATCAGTGCCGATGATATAATCAAACGGTGGACCAACAGCCTTTATATGATCTGCATCTCCCCAGTTCAGCTCTGCCACTTGGATGGAACCAAAGTAATCTACAAAGAATGTAATGCAAAAATGAACTCATAATCACGTACTTTAGCTTTTGGCTGCACAAATGAAGATATGTTGAGACAAGGTACCAAAAATTTCTAGGAGTGATAATTACAGATGCCTGTACACCTCGAGTTGTAGCCTAATTGAAAAATAAAATTAAAAAAAAAAGGTTAAAAGCTTAGCTTATTCTCTGTTGGAAATTCCATTGCTTGTGAGTTGTTCTACATTGGGTAAATGAGTTTACTTCACAAGTCTAGTGGGCTACTCCTTCCATTACAAATTGGTTTTTGGGATAGAACCTCATTAAGGTAGCGACTAGGCTTCACCTTGTGAGACCGAACCCGTACCCCGAATCTATAACTCTTAACATTCTCAAACTGTAATAGCCAAATATATGTTCCAATTTACGAATCGCAGGTATGTGTAATGCCTCAGCCATGCTTTTATAATTTCAAATACTATTTCCTTCTTATTTTTTTTGTTCATAATCCTGTTCTGAAAAATTTAAAAAAAAAAAAATCAATCGAAAATGGATAGGATATAAATTGTAATTTTTGCAGGAAAGGAATCTGAAAGACAATCAAGAAACCATAAGGAGACTTGATATGGGAATGTAAATTTACCAGGAGCAGGGTTCATTTGCAGGATCCTAGAAGTGTTGCGTTCCACGTTTCTCATAAGCAAGGGTAAAACCTCGGCTTGATCTGTCGAGATAACATCACACCCTAGCAAGGCCATCCCTGAATAACATTATCCCTTCAATTGTTTAGCCTCTATTCTGAAAACCTCCGCTATTACTTACAGGTCCCAGCAATTAAGACGGACTTACCTAATCCAGCTACCCCACAGCCTGCTCCAAGTTCAATCACACGTTTCCCTCTCAATTTAGATGGTGAAAACCTTCCTTTTCTACAATTTTTTTCCTTCATAATTGATAAAAAAATGCGTTAACTAAACTATAACAAAATATGGATCAAGCTATCTTAAAAACTCAAACAATGTTAGAATTGGTCGTTGAACTGAAAATGAACATGAAGGTAATTATCCTCAACCATATTAATTCACAACGTAATAATAATTATATAAATATTCACTGTTTTTTTTTTTTTTCTTGAGAAAAGAAATAAAGGAGGGAAAATCAAGAAAACACAAGAACACTTTTACCAGAAATTTGGCAAATACCATTGACGCATCCCACACGGTGGTCCCTAAGTGTTTAGAATTTGGATCCTGCGATAGTTACAGCACATTTGTAACTGAGAATGAGGCAGATGAAAATATTTTCATTTAATCATTAGTAAGGGTAAAAAGCCCCCCCAAAAGGTTAACGAAATTGTATGTAATGAACATACTTTATAAAAACTCGTCATTCTAATTGCACGGAAAAAGATGAGTACATTTTTTTTTTATAATCTTTTGCGGTGATGCCTTTTCAATTATTCAAAAGTGATAGAAAGGTAATCTACAAAAAGTATAAGGCCTTTAAATTCTCCTTTTACTATAGAAGTTGAATTCCTTATGATTAGATTATAGGCTAGGGGTAATCGCATGCTGCATCCGAACTATTTGAATACAAAAGTAAATGACATAAAATGCCACCAAAAGTACTTTTCATCTTTTTAAACCAAAGAAATCGAAACAAAAGCTCAGACATATAAGTTGTAATCACCTGAGCAAACTGAAGCTGATGGCCAAGAACTTCAAACACAACTGCTGATGTGTGGGGAGAATTGAGCCTGAAAAAGCATAAAAATGCAGTCTCAATGAGTTATAACCTTGATATATACAAGAAGTTAATTTTTTATAGAACTCACAGTCACATTTTTCCAAAGCAATAAGTTGATCAAATGAACAAAAAACTGTATCATTCGAGGAGTATATAAAATCAAACGAAACAAAAAACTGAAAATAGGACACCAAAAGCTTAACGTTCATCAATCAATCAGTGTAAAAATTAGGATAATATATAGCTACCAGAGAAGCACATAATACAGCCCCTTTTTCAATATGCCAAAACCTAAAACAGCTTCAAACACACCAACAAACATGAGAATACAGTGTACAGAGCTATTCGACAAAAGGGAAAAAAATAAAAATAAGGAAAAATATTTCATGCCCTTACCGCTAAATGAAGCTCGGGTTCTCGTCAAAAAATGGAATTACATTAATTCTCCAACACAAATATTTGATAAATAACAAGACACCTATACACAGTGGATTATTGCAACAGCCATTATTATTAATAACAAAAGGCAAAGAAAAGAATGGCTCAACACAAGCTACAGAACAATAATACACACACAGTCCACTCAACTCAGCACAAAGTTAAACATATATGTAAAACTAGGAATCATCTAACCCAGTTGATATAAATATGAAAAAGAAATTACTTCTCACTGAAAGATTGATAAAATTACCTGTCCGCCTCCATATGAGACCAGCAGTTTTTAAAGTCTAAACCTTCACTGCCTGAAAGAAATACAAATAAGATTCTACAAACAAAGAAATATATTCACATTTGAACAGAAACATATAGAATCAATGGAGAGCAAAAAATAACACGCGGAGAAAAAACTGAATAATTTCAGGTGAATTATCTCTTCAGATTTGATGAATAATTAAATAAATACAAGAATTAGAAACAGGGGTGCTCATGAGATACTGCAAACAGAAGAGGAAAATCTGTAATTGCCAGAAGAAACCTAATGAAATATTTCACAAACGTCAGTTTATTTTTTCTTTTTCTTCTGGTCCAGAAAACGAGCGAACCTCAGATCGAAGTTCCCAGTGTCGAACACCAAAGCCCGGCTGAGGTTGTGACGTTGTGTTTGTGAAAGTATTCACTCGAACCAAATAAATTCTAGTAAAAATCTAACTGAACTATAACGAACCTCACTATCCTTAATATTATCAACAATATAATTAAATGATAACAATTAATCATTAAATAATAAAAACCAATCATTTTTACACACTATATCAACTGTAATTCACTATTCATCCATTCAAATAATTTTAACTAACCATCACATCATATTATCTCTCTCCTACTTTTACATCTAACTAATTTCATTTATTTTATTTTAATTATTATTTTAATATAAACTCAAAATCTCACTACAAATTCCATCTATAGATACGAGATTGTTTTTAGAATTTGGGAGATTTTTTTTAGAATTTGGAACAACTCAACGCAGAAAGGGCCTCTCTCGCTGCGAAATCCTAGCCCATATCTTTTCTCCCTCGTTCTTCGTAGATTCTCCGCCGCTGAGTGCCTTCCCCGGCGGGTAGCCGTACCCTTAGCCGGCGGATGGCCCATAGCTACGCCACCACGCTCCAATTGTGCTCCCCTCCAGGTATTCTCGACTTAGACAGTGGATTCCCGTCGTCCTTTGGTCGGCTCCGCTCCGGTACGGTGGTCGATGTGAGTTCGACGGCTCCTCTGCCAATTCGTGTCCGATTTTCGGCCTCGACGGAGGATTCCCGGCGTCCTTTGGTTGGCCCTGTCTCAGTAGGGTGGTCGATGGCAGGTTTGATGGGTTCTCCTCCAATTCGGGTCTGATTGCCGTATGGAGGTGTGTGGTTGGGTGTTGGGTGCGGCCCTAGCTGCTCAGCTTGTCTGAGTCGCGACGGCCAGGGGTTGAGGAGGATCTATTTTCACTTTCGGTCCCTATTTCCGCTGATGTTGTGGCTTTGAGATGCCGGCACGCTAGAATCTAGGCCAGTGGTGTTGGCCGGATCTTGGGTAGCTGGTGTGTGGGGGGCTGGTCGATTCTCCTCCGGCTATGGGTCGACTTCATCCTCGAAGTGGTTTGAGGTTCAGGACCCGTCCTTTGCTAGGCATTAGGCAGTGGCTGGAGTGACGTTCTGGATTTCAGTTGAAGTTGTGGGATGATTTGTCCTTATTTCGCCGGTGCCTTGTTCTAGATTTGGATTTCCCACTGGGGAAAGGCCTTGTTTGTTGGTAGATTAGGTCCCTATATCTTAGTTTGTTTCCTTTGTGTTCGTGCTTGTGTTATTTAGATTTGTGTTTTTGGTTTGGGCCATTTGGTCTCAGTGCGCCCGAATGTCAACTTATTATCTCCGAATATGCCTCCCAATTTTATAGCCTCTCGTTGTATTATTCAGCTTTTGACTGTTTTCTTTTTGCACTTTGTGCACTTTTATTAATATAAATCCTCTATAATTTAAAAAAAAAAAAA